AAATACCTGCTTTTTTGCTCGAATTTTTGCTGCTTTATTGGTGGATAGTGTTTGTAACATTACAAACGGTCGTGAAGCAGATTTGAGAACGTAATACTCCCAATCTCATTTTTTTTCTCACGGTGTATTTTTTAAATTTTTTCCTCTTTCCTTGTTTCACTGTTTTTCTTGCTTAGAACTATTTTTTGTCTTTTCGTAGCTTGTGTTTGCTAAGCGCAGCTTCGCCTCTGGGTAAATACCTGCTTTTTTGCTTGAATTTTTGCTGCTTTATTGGCTAGTGCTTGTAACATTACAAGCGGTCGTGAAGCAGATATGGGACGTGATACTCCTAATCTCATTTTTTTTTCTCACGGTGTATTTTTTAAATTTTTTCCTCTTTCCTTGTTTTACTTTGTTTTTCTTGTTTAGAACTATTTTTTGTCTTTTCGTAGCTTGTGTTTGCTAAGCGCAGCTTCGCCTTGTGTAAATACCTGCTTTTTTTGCTCGAATTTTTGCTGCTTTACTGGTTGCTAGTGTTAGTAACATTACTAGTGGTCGTGAAGCAGACATGAGAACGTGATGCTCCTAATCTCAAGTTTTTTCTCACGGCGTATTTTTAATTTTTTCCTTTCTTTGTTTTACTTTATTTTTCTTGTTTAGAACTATTTTTTGCCTTTTCCTAGCTTGTGTTTGCGAAGCGCAGCTTCGCCTCTGTCTAAATACTTGCTTTTTTGCTTGAATTTTTGCTGCTTTATTGGTGGATAGTGTTTGTAACATTACAAACGGTCGTGAAGCAGATTTGAGAACGTGATACTCCCAATCTCATTTTTTTTCTCACGGTGTATTTTTTAAATTTTTTCCTCTTTCCTTGTTTCACTTTGTTTTTGCTTAGAACTATTATTGTCTTTTCGTAGCTTGTGTTTGCTAAGCGCAGCTTCGCCTCTGGGTAAATACCTGCTTTTTTGCTCGAATTTTTGCTGCTTTATTGGTGGCTAGTGTTAGTAACATTACAAGTGGTCGTGAAGCAGACATGAGAACGTGATGCTCCTAATCTCAAGTTTTTTCTCACGGTGTATTTTTAATTTTTTCCTTTCTTTGTTTTACTTTATTTTTCTTGTTTAGAACTATTTTTTGCCTTTTCCTAGCTTGTGTTTGCGAAGCGCAGCTTCGCCTCTGTCTTAATATTTGCTTTTTTGCTTGAATTTTTGCTGCTTTATTGGTGGATAATGTTTGTAACATTACAAACGGTCGTGAAGCAGATTTGAGAACGTGATACTCCCAATCTCATTTTTTTTCTGACGGTGTATTTTTTAAATTTTTTCCTCTTTCCTTGTTTCACTTTGTTTTTCTTGTTTAGAACTATTTTTTGTCTTTTCGTAGCTTGTGTTTGCTAAGCGCAGCTTCGCCTCTGGGTAAATACCTGCTTTTTTGCTCGAATTTTTGCTGCTTTATTGGTGGCTAGTGTTTGTAACATTACAAGTGGTCGTGAAGCAGACATGAAAACGTGATGCTCCTAATCTCAAGTTTTTTCTCACGGTGTATTTTTAAAATTTTTTCCTCTTTCCTTGTTTTACTTTGTTTTTCTTGTTTAGAACTATTTTTTGTCTTTTCGTAGCTTGTGTTTGCTAAGCGCAGCTTCGCCTTGTGTAAATACCTGCTTTTTTGCTCGAATTTTTGCTGCTTTATTGGTTGCTAGTGTTAGTAACATTACTAGTGGCCGTTAAGCAGACATGAGAACGTGATGCTCCTAATCTCAAGTTTTTTCTCACGGTGTATTTTTAATTTTTGCCTCTTTCTTTGTTTTACTTTATTTTTCTTGTTTAGAACTATTTTATGCCTTTTCCTAGCTTGTGTTTGCGAAGCGCAGCTTCGCCTCTGTGTTAATACTTGCTTTTTTGCTTGAATTTTTGCTGCTTTATTGGTGGATAGTGTTTGTAACATTACAAACGGTCGTGAAGCAGATTTGAGAACGTGATACTCCCAATCCCATTTTTTTTCTCACGGTGTATTTTTTAAAATTTTTCCTCTTTCCTTGTTTCACTGTTTTTCTTGTTTAGAACAATTTTTTGTCTTTTCGTAGCTTGTGTTTGCTAAGCGCAGCTTCGCCTCTGGGTAAATACCTGCTTTTTTGCTCAAATTTTTGCTGCTTTATTGGTGGCTAGTGTTAGTAACATTACAAGTGGTCGTGAAGCAGACATGAGAACGTGATGCTCCTAATCTCAAGTTTTTTCTCACGGTGTATTTTAAAAATTTTTTCCTCCCTTGTTTTACTTTGTTTTTCTTGTTTAGAACTATTTTTTGTCTTTTCGTAGCTTGTGTTTGCTAAGCGCAGCTTCGCCTTGTGTAAATACCTGGTTTTTTGCTCGAATTTTTGCTGCTTTATTGGTTGCTAGTTTTAGTAACATTACTAGTGGCCGTTAAGCAGACATGAGAACGTGATGCTCCTAATCTCAAGTTTTTTCTCACGGTGTATTTTTAATTTTTGCCTCTTTCTTTGTTTTACTTTATTTTTCTTGTTTAGAACTATTTTATGCCTTTTCCTAGCTTGTGTTTGCGAAGCGCAGCTTCGCCTCTGTGTAAATACTTGCTTTTTTGCTTGAATTTTTGCTGCTTTATTGGTGGATAGTGTTTGTAACATTACAAACGGTCGTGAAGCAGATTTGAGAACGTGATACTCCCAATCCCATTTTTTTTTCTCACGGTGTATTTTTTAAAATTTTTCCTCTTTCCTTGTTTCACTGTTTTTCTTGTTTAGAACAATTTTTTGTCTTTTCGTAGCTTGTGTTTGCTAAGCGCAGCTTCGCCTCTGGGTAAATACCTGCTTTTTTGCTCAAATTTTTGCTGCTTTATTGGTGGCTAGTGTTAGTAACATTAAAAGTGGTCGTGAAGCAGACATGAGAACGTGATGCTCCTAATCTCAAGTTTTTTCTCACGGTGTATTTTAAAAATTTTTTCCTCACTTGTTTTACTTTGTTTTTCTTGTTTAGAACTATTTTTTGTCTTTTCGTAGCTTGTGTTTGCTAAGCGCAGCTTCGCCTTGTGTAAATACCTGGTTTTTTGCTCGAATTTTTGCTGCTTTATTGGTTGCTAGTTTTAGTAACATTACTAGTGGCCGTTAAGCAGACATGAGAACGTGATGCTCCTAATCTCAAGTTTTTTCTCACGGTGTATTTTTCAAATTTTTTCCTCTTTCCTTGTTTCACTGTTTTTCTTGTTTAGAACTATTTTTTGTCTTTTCGTAGCTTGTGTTTGCTAAGCGCAGCTTCGCCTCTGGGTAAATACCTGCTTTTTTGCTCGAATTTTTGCTGCTTTATTGGTTGCTAGTGTTAGTAACATTACTAGTGGCCGTTAAGCAGACATGAGAACGTGATGCTCCTAATCTCAAGTTTTTTCTCACGGTGTATTTTTATCTTTGCCTCTTTCTTTGTTTTACTTTATTTTCTTGTTTAGAACTATTTTTGCCTTTTCCTAGCTTGTGTTTGCGAAGCGCAGCTTCGCCTCTGTGTAAATACTTGCTTTTTTGCTTGAATTTTTGCTGCTTTATTGGTGGATAGTGTTTGTAACATTACAAACGGTCGTGAAGCAGATTTGAGAACGTAATACTCCCAATCTCATTTTTTTTCTCACGGTGTATTTTTAAAATTTTTTCCTCTTTCCTTGTTTCACTGTTTTTCTTGTTTAGAACTATTTTTTGTCTTTTCGTAGCTTGTGTTTGCTAAGCGCAGCTTCGCCTCTGGGTAAATACCTGCTTTTTGCTCGAATTTTTGCTGCTTTATTGGTGGCTAGTGTTAGTAACATTACAAGTGGTCGTGAAGCAGAGATGAGAACGTGATGCTCCTAATCTCAAGTTTTTTCTCACGGTGTATTTTTAATTTTTTCCTCTTTCCTTATTTCACTTTGTTTTTTTTTCTGTTTAGAACTATTTTTTGCCTTTTCCTAGCTTGTGTTTGCGAAGCGCAGCTTCGCTTCTGTGTAAATACCTGCTTTACTCTAAATTTGTTTCTACGATGGTAGAAGTTTGGTTTTACCAACTTAATTTTTGCTTAATATTTGTTGCTAGAAAGTTTTTGAGTGTCAATGAGCTGAGTAAAGACAGTTATTGAGTTTGTGCAGTTTTCCTTTTTTTTGGAAAACGCCATAAAATTTGATAACGATCAATTTTTTTGCTCTTTACGTCTTTATTTTCTTAGGTTCAATTCAAATTCATATTTTATAAGGTAGTCAAATTACGCTCCCCAATAACGAAGCTGTAAATCACTCAAAAAATGAGTTAATTTTCGTTTCGAAAGTGTATTTTAGATATTTCCCAGCGGAATATGAAAATTACTGATTGAACCAATTTTCTGTAATTGGGTTAGTTTGTGGAAAAAAAAGACATACCTAAAGGATTCATGAAATTGAAAGAGCTCTAATTTCATGTATTTTTTCTCTCCTACATGCCAAGTAGAAAAAAATGCATGAAATTAGAGTTCTTTAAATTTCATGAATCCTTTAGGTATGTTTTTTTTCCACAAACAAACCAAATTATAGAAAATTGGTTCAATCAGTTATTTTCATATCCCGCTGGGAAATATCTAAAATACACTTTCGAAACAAAAATCATACTTTTGGCTAAGTTATTCGGTTTATTTTATTGGATTGACCGCTTGATTTTGCTTCGTTTGGAAATCTCGCTCAAAATGCTTCTTTTGCATGTGCGTGCGTAGCGGAAGAGACCTTAAACATCGAAATTCAAAATGTTTTTTTTTTTGGTTTAACTGGCTTTTGAATTAGTATTTTGAATTTTTGGTGTATCGCAAATGGTGCGAAGTTTCGCTACGCCTCTTTGTTTTTAATGAAAATCAGATCTAGCTGTTGAATTTGTGCACACACTACAATTAGTTTGTTCCTGAAACTTAAATTCGCCTTTGTCCCTTTTTCTACTAGATTGACAAAATTTGATTAGGTGAAAGTGTTAAGTGAAAAATATCATTTCTGAATTGACCTGACTGTTTTTGAGCCCTGTTTTTGCTTTTCTAGATCCAGAAATGAAATCTGCAAGCTCCAATTAGCCATGGTGAAGCGGCCTGTCGGCGCAAAAGTGCAAAATGAAGTAGTCGAAAAGAAGTCACACTATGGAGTCATTTCTGATGTCCGAAACGGGTGCTCCGATTCAATTTTGCAAACTAGAGTGCAACTTTTAGCCGAGACATGTTTAACTTTCGAAGACTTCGACAAATGTGCAATAGAATTAGCCAAATATCTTCTGGGTAGTATGAATTTTTCTTCTGAGCTATTCGAATTGCTGAGCTAATTTTTTTTATTAGCTCAAAGAAAAACAGGGCAAGAAGCGTATAGTTTTCTTTGTTCCAGGAAAAATAGTGGTGCGCATAACGGAGAATGGAGAAATTCTCACGGGAAGAATAGTGGAAACTGAAGCGTACCCTGGACTGACAGATGTTGCTAGCCACTCATTTAGAGGCAGAACTGAGCGCAATCAGGCCATGTTTATGCCTGCAGGAACCTGTTACGTGTACTACATATACGGACGACAGAATTGTGTTAACGTATCCAGTAAAGACGAGGCTGGCGCAGTTTTGATTCGAGCTGTTGAGCCAATAGAAGGTCACTCGATAATGTTGAAAAACCGAAACAAAAAAGTCGATGCAAGTCTTGCTCAAAGTCTCAAATCTATTAAAGACGTTTCAAATGGACCTGCCAAACTGTGCCAAGCGCTTAATATAACGAAAGATGAATTCAACTGTCAACCTCTGACGTTCAGTAGAAGCACCGAAACTGGGAGTGAAATTTCTGTTGTTCCGAAATTGTTTATGGCCAAAACCGAAGAAGGAAATATTCCTGAAGATTCCATTGTAGTTTCGACTAGAGTAGGAATTGATGGCTGCGGTAAAGAGGCAGCTGCACTTCCGCTTAGATATTTTATCAAACGAAATTTTTATGTTAGTGTAGTTAAAAAGACAGATAGTATTGGCTGAATTTAGTAAAAAAAAGTTCGAATTTCGTATGTGATTTACCAAGTGATTTATAACTCTTTTCTGTCAAGTTATTTTTTTCAGGAAGTCTTAAATGTTGTTCACGCTCAGGTTTGATTTTTCGCGTTCTGACTTTTAATTTCTTATTAAGTTCATTTTTAATTCAATTGCTGAAAAGAAGGTGTATAACTCGAATAAAAAAGTTCAAATGGTGCAGAAAAAACGAGAAAAAATGGAATGTTATTTTCAGAAATCTAAGCAGTATAAAAAATAATCTATTGATCCATTTGTTACAGAAGCCAGCTAGCAGTGTTAAATTACGAGTCCAATTTCTTTTCCAAGCCCAAATCGCTTTTAAAAGTGCTAATTTGGTAATTTATTGGTGGCTACTCTGTTTAACTTTTGGAAACTAACATGGCGCAGATGCGAGAACTTGAGACGCAAAATCTCCAGGGTTGCGTTCCAAATTACGCAAGGAGCAAAAAGTTTTTTCGGGCTTATTATCACCATTGTTTTCCTTACTACTCTTGCGTGATCAAGTGTTTTGTGGATCCAGACGACGCCGCCTTCCAGTGGTGGATCCGACATCTTGGGCCCCACCAAGATGCAAATGGCGTCAAGCCCCCCCTCCCATTGGGTCGGGAGAAGCTCAGAAGTCTCCGGGTTTTCGGTTACGGAGCGTCTGAAGCCGGCCAGGCTGCTCCGTCTGCTCATCCTTATACTACTACTCCGCTCCGGCATTAATCCAAACCCTGGTCCAGGACCTTACTTTTGCTCCCCTTGCTCTTTCCGCATCAAACGCACCCAGCCCAGTGTCTGGTGCCACATCTGTGGTTACATTCACCTTAAATGTAGTGGTCTTACCCACCTTAACCAACACCACCCTGACTACTATTGCCCTACCTGTACCTCTACCTACATTTTACCTCCCCCAGGCACCAGGTCCTCTAACTTGACCACCCCCAACTCCCAAACTTGTTCAACTTCCCTAACCGCCCCCAACCCCACCTCCCTAACCCCCCTCCCCCTCCCACCCTTCCCACCTCCTCGAATAATAATTCCTCCTCCCAAAATCGCGCAAATCGTAATCGTGTAAATAGTGTAAACAACTCAAGTTCAAACAACCATTTTAATCATACTGCTGTTAATAATGTAAATAGTTCACCACACCCCGCCAAAGGCCTTTTAAAAATCCTTCAATTTAATTGCAACGGTATCTCCGGAAAAGCACCCGAAATTGCTGCTTTCTTATCTCAAAATCAAATTCATATTGCTGTCTTCCAAGAAACTAAATTAAGAAAGAAATCTCGAAACCCCTCACTTGGCTCACACTACACTTTAATTAGAAAAGATCGAGAAAAAGAAGGGGGCGGTCTTCTCATAGCCATACATGAGTCGATACAATACGAAGAAATAAATATTAACAACGATGGAACACTAGAGGCTATGGGCATATCAGTGGTAGCCAGTTCATCCAAGCTTCGTATTTATAATTTCTACATCCCCCCGCGCTCGAGCTGTCCCGCTGGTTACTCTGCGTCCCTTGCCGAACTACTTGAACCTGGGGACGCCTTAGTACTCGGGGATGCCAACGCACATTCACAACTATGGAACTCCAACATCGAGGAAGATCAACGCGGCTCTGTACTTAGCAATGAAATAACCGAATCCACCTTTGCACCATTAAATGATGACACACAAACCAGAGTCCCTTTTAACTCAGAAAACCAACTCTCGTCACCAGATATTTCCCTCGCATCCCAATCGCTCTTACTCTCCACATCATGGACCCCAATTAAATCTCTAGGATCAGATCACCTACCCATTCTTCTAGAACTACCCTTGGATGATTTTATAAATTTTTCACCTAAAAGGACTTTTATAAATTTTTTAAAAGCAGATTGGATCAAATTCACAGAGGAAATTGAGGAGGGTTTCTTTTCAGCGGTTCCACCTTCCGGAGTTGCCGCCGGAGAGAAATTCTTGAGGGACCTGGTGCTCAGGGCAGCACGCCACCACATCCCCGCTGGCCGTATTCGCCACTTCACTCCCTCTCTTTCCCCCGAGTCCACTGCCCTTGCCGCCGAAAGAGATTTAAGCCGACAACAAAATCTCCCCCCAGAAGTCATATCCCAACTGAACTGTAGACTCATGAAACAGACAGCAAAGGACAAAGAAAATAAATGGCGAGAATTCCTCCGGACTTGCGACTACCGCACTGGTGCCAGAAAGTTCTGGAAAGTGGTACGCTCCTTAAATGGATCTAAGCCCGTGGCAGGAAGACACCCCATTACTTTTGGTTCTAAACCCATACACTCACCTCGTGATATTACCAGCTCTTTTAACAAACAATTCACAAATGCCAGACCCCACGCCTCTGACAAACTCCTTCGTATAACGAGAAGAAAAATTGCCAAACTACCGCTGTCAGACAGCCCAATTTTTACCCCTGAAAATACTAAACAAGCCATTGCAGACAGCAAACCATCGCGAGCGCTAGGTCCCGACGGCCTTTGTAATATACATCTTAAACATCTCGGCCCACTTGCTACTCAATACTTAACATACCTTTTTAATATCTCTTTGTCCGAAAACATTATCCCCCAAATTTGGAAAAATTCAAAAATTGCACCGCTTCCAAAGCCCAATAAGGATCTTAAACAATCAACATCTTACAGACCTATATCCTTACTCTGCCCAATTGTTAAAATTCTGGAGAGGCTCGTTCACCCCATCTTTACCAAACATCTCCCCAACGCCAAACACCAACACGGCTTCCGCCCTTTTCACTCCACCACCACAGCTCTCTCCACTCTCGAGTTTTACATTTCAGACGGTTTTAACCAAAATCGCCCCCCTAAACGTACGGTACTGGCCACACTTGACTTATCTAAGGCTTTCGACATGGTGTGTCATCGCTCACTTGTGGAACTCGTTCATGACACTCCCCTCCCAAGAAGTCTAGTCCGCTGGCTAAGTAATTACCTTAATGGTCGACAGGCTGCCACCTCATTCCGTGAACACACATCCCCCCATCGAATAATCCACTGTGGCGTACCCCAAGGTTCTGTTTTATCACCCACACTCTTCAATTTCTATGTCCATGATGCACCGCCACCTCCCGATAATGTAAACCTTGTTTCGTATGCAGACGATTTCCACCCCTTCGCAAGCAGTTCCAATATTGATATCGCCTCAAACTCCATCAATAGCTACCTAAAAAGGCTCTACGATTTTTTCACCTCACGCAAACTAAGTTTCGCGTCCTCTAAAGGATCAGTTACACTTTTCTCCTCTTATAACAAAGAATTTAATAAAACACCTAGTGTTCTTTTAAATAACGAGGCGCTACCCCTAAACAAAAATCCAACAATCTTAGGGGTGACATTTGATCCAACACTTTGTTTTGCCACTCACTGCAAACAATCCGCTGAAAAGGCCAGACGCAGGATCGGAATCCTGAAGGCATTAGCAGGATCAACCTGGGGTCACTCCAAAGAAACCCTCCTCCTAACTTTTAAAGCTTTAATTCGCCCCATACTTGACTATGCAGCCCCCGCATGGTCCCACGCATCAAGTAACACCTCCATAAATTGCCTGCAGGTTGCCCAAAACCAATCCCTTCGCGTTGTTACTGGATCAAAACTAATGAGTTCCACTGCCCACCTGCACAGTGAATCTGAAATCCTAACGGTCAAAGACCACCATACCCTTCTGTCATCTCAATTTTTTATCTCTACCTATCGTTCCCACCATCCCATTAATTTTATACATTCACATCCCCCTCCTCCCCGTCTACTTCGCCCCTCAATTATAAGCTGCTTCAAAGAAGACACCCAGAAAATTTTAACCGACTTTTCAGTCTACGCAAACCACCCTCTAGTTCTGGACGACCGAGACGAAGTCTCCACTTTTATTTTTAACTACTACAAACCAATTTTAAAAGACAACCATACCTCCCTTGTAACCAAGTTCCTAGCCGAAACCCCTCCGTCTAAAGTTATTTGTATCCCTCCCCCAAAGATTGACCCCTCTGAAAAATCTCTCCCACGTCCCACGCGCTGTAGGCTCTCCCAACTCCGGTCTGGCTACAGCCGGCTCCTTAACACCTACCTATCCCGCCTCGACAGCTCCATCTCCCACCTTTGCCCAACCTGTTCCCTTGCCCCCCACACAACTTGTCACCTTTTCAACTGCTCCCAAAACCCCTCCCCACTCACCCCAGCAGACCTGTGGCTTCGGCCGGTAGAGGTTGCTAAGTTCCTTGACCTGGAGACAGAAGAGCCCAACCCGACCCGCGTGGGCTAACAACAACAACAACAACATCAAGTGTTTTGTAATCTAATCTGGAGCATGACTTTTTTCCCGTAAACAATTTTTCCTACAAGTTTTTGTCTTCTTTTCACTTCTTCTCTTTGAGTCCTGGCCGGTTTTTGAGTCTCTTCTCTTCTTTTCGAGTCCTGGCCGGTGTTCGAGTCCTGGACGGGCTTTTTTGAGTGTCAATGAAATTGAAAAAAAATACGAAAAATTGAAATGGACTTTCGTTTGTCTGCCCAAGTACTGTCGGTTAAGTTGCCACAGATTTTGCTTGTGCTGTCAGCAAATTCCATTGTAGTTGCAAGTGCAAGTGCTGTTGATTGCAGTTTCAGGTGGGACTTTGAACTTAAACGTTTTTTTTTTATAGAATCTTTATTTTTGGGCCCAACTTGGGTCTGCCAAAAGATTGTCGGCCTTCTTTCCGCTTTGAAACTCTTGTGTTTAGTTGCCAATTTAATGTTCAATTGTCGAGCGTATTTCCCTAGAATGAACTTCTATCGAGACAAGTGATAAAATCTTTTCATTTTGTTTCGACTTGTAATGTTTTTTGTTTGTGTCGTGTCGCAAGTGATGAGAAGCTCCGCTTCACCTCTGTGTTACTCTTGTGATAGCAAGTGTATTGCAACCGGGTACTAGACTTTTCCCTGTAAATAAATTTGTTCATATAATGGTCAAATTTAGAAATGGTTTAGTTTATTATAAATTTAAATTTCCTTGCGTCTCCTGCACGCTTGGTGTA